TTTTACAACTTTTTAAAACACACTATCAGGCTCTCAGGATCCCAGCTCTCCAGCTTACTACATTTACATGAAGACAGTATTTCAAGGTTTTCTAAAGATCAGAGAAGGTATCAAAAAAAGTATATAAAAGAATGTACAAAAATATCTTTAAGAACTGGTGTAATCATCCATAAACACAACTCTACTTAATTTTTATATTTCGTTTTATAATGGTCAATTCATGATTTAAGGACAAAAATTATGAGTATGTTCATTATGTACTATAGACATAATTTAGGCTATTATTGTATTAAAATTGTTGCTTTATACTATTGAACAGTATTTACTGTGTCATTTTTTAAACAATCACCTTTAGGGCACCTGGGTGGCTCAGTCGGTTGGGCGACCGACTTCAGCTCATGTCATGATCTCACAGCTGGTGAGTTCAAGCCCCGCATTGGGCTCTGTGCTGACAGACCCTGGAGCCTCCTTCGGATTCTGTGTCTCCCTCTCTCTCTGCCCTTTGCTTGCACACTCTCTCTCTCTCTCTCTCTCTTTCTCTCTCAAAAATAAATAAATATTAAAAAAATATTTTTAAAACATTTGCCTTTTTAAATTTTTTCTCGTTTTTTTTAACGTTTATTTTATTGTGTTTTGTTGTTTTGTTTTTTGAGAGACAGAGAGAGAGTGAGCAGGGAGGGGCAGAGAGAGATAGAAAGAGAAAGAGAGAGAGAGACACACACACAGAATCTGAAGCAGGCTCCAGAGTCAGAGCTGTCAGCACAGGCCCTATGGGGGGCTCAAACTCACAAACCGTGAGGTCATGACCTGAGCCAAAGTTGGATGCTTAACCAACTGAATCACCCAGGTGCCCCCCCCCTCAAAAAAATCGCCTTTGAAGATTTTCTGCTTGTGTATCAGGTGGTATATACAACAACTGAATAGTATTCTGGCTATACATTCTGGACTCTACAGAGTAAATCTGTCAGGAGAGTACAGATCATCAAGCACAGGAGAGCGCTTGTTTTAAGCCATGAGGCTTTGGGTTAATTTGTTACAAAGCAATAGATAACTAAAACAGTACATAAAATAGTTGCATTAAAATGCCAAAAGCTTTAAATTTCTGCATATCTGTAATAAACTGACCACTCCTTATATATAGCTCAGCCCTTATATTATTGTACACTAATATACATTATATAGGGATTATCACAATATGAACCAAAAGAATATATTCATGATAAGTAAATATTGTGCACAAGAATGCTCATATCTCTCAAAGGGCGTTGGATTTTATTATTCGTTTTACTCCATCATTCCAACACTGTCTAAATAGGCTCGATATTTGTAGTCTTATATATAAACCAAATTAACTAAAATATGTTTATCTCAAACACAGAGAAAGGTTGGTTTTACCCACAAATGATTACTTGCATGTCAGCCAACATAACTCAGTATCAAGTTAAAGGAATGTTTGTGCTAGAAAGAACAGCAGGTCTCTTAAAATTCACAAATATGGTGGCTTTCTTTATATCTCATGAAATTGTATTTAGGAATAATTTCCTTTGCTTCTCTATGAATATGTGAAATATTTAGAAATGTTTATTTTTCCATGCAGCCTAAGTAAAGAAGGGTAACAATATATGAGTTGTAAAGAAAGCTTCAAGATGCACTGAAGAGAGATCAAATGTTTTCCTTACTTTTTCTCTTTGCCTTAGCCCATAATAAAGAGACTAGCTTGTAGCTGAGTATGTATCAGCAGTTCTTGGCCTAAGGGCATTAAAAAATTTAATAATTTTTCAAGTTTCCTTGGAATCCATTTTCCAAATTCAGTTTGGGTTTCAGTTCTTCCATGAAAATTAAGAATTTCAAAGGAACCAGGCAAAATGCATTTATCTGGAACACTGTATCTTTTTGATAAAAATCTCCTATATAATAAATGTCTAACCATACAGGAAAGTGACTGAATGGTGTGATGTGGAATTATAAACAGTGTGGGCCAAACGTCCATTGGTTGCTACCTGCTACAGATGGTGATTTTGGTTTTAAAGTAGATTAGTTAGTAGTTATATAACAAGTAGGGAAACGATGACAGTAAACAAAAGCAATAATGTTGAAATAGTAAGAATTAAAAACTACAGAACTGAAATATCACTTGAAGTTGGTAGCTAATGTTATGACACACTTTCTAGTGATTCTAGCTCTTAGAGTGTATTGAGAGTTAGGTTTTGTATGAACACCATTAATAGGATAAGGGAATTGGAATTAGTATTATGTTTCAACGCAGAAACTTTGGGGTGTCAGTAATGTGTGTTTAACAAGCTGTCCAGGTAATTCTGATGAATGCTAATATCTGAGAAAGCCTGGCTTTAGACCATAACTACACCACACAGATCACAAAGTCAAATGCAATCAACATTTGCCTAGAGCTTCTGTTTTCTTTCCGGGAAATTCCTTCTTAGGATACGAGCAGGCATGACTATTGTTGACAAACATGCTTTATGTTCTGACCCTCAAGTGGAATATTTGCATGAAAATTAAAGCTTGCAATTTGTGAAGGAATGTACTGTCCTAGAATTGGAAGGGGTGTTCAATAAGCTGAAAGGTATATAACTAAGAAAGAATAAAATACTGTCATGTTTAAATTGGGGTAGATCAAGAGTTCTATTTCTCCTTGGATATAGATAGCTGGAACTAGTGTTGCTTCTACCCTAACAAGAAAAACCCATGTCAACTTTAAAGATCACTTTGCTGAATACGTCAAAGAGCTGACGTCATTAGTCAACCAAGTAATATGCAGTCCACTGAATCTCAGCCTCCTCCAAGGAGAGAGGAGACACAAACACCTGTTCACCAGTGGCAGACCCTGAAAGGAAGAGATGCTGGGTGCCATATAACTAGGTAAGAAGTCTTTGCAATAAACTGGTAGAGGTCAGGTGTGGACTAGGGGAAGAGTCCAGAGCCCCTGGGAGCTATAGACATAGGGGAGTTTGCACCCACTTGCAGTCTCTTCTCCATGGACCTCAATCTCCTGCTCATGAGAGAAACTGTGGGCACAGCAGGAGAAGGCCAAATGCTTTCCTCAGTGTTGCAGGCTTAGAGGAGGAAAGTGGTCACTGCCCAGAGGCAGCTTTTCTCTGAAAAACAAACTGTAAACCTCTGGGAAAGGAAAAGAAAACCGTCACCACCAGGGCAAGGACAAAGACTCACCGAAGCCAGGGGAAAGGTAAAACAACAACGACAATGACAGGAAAAAAAAACAAAAACAACACAACACAACGAGCCACTTTTTCCCCTGGGGAACTGCTGGTCACAGGTTTCTTAAGGCAGCAACAATAGAGACTTGCTACCACTATAGAAGGTCTTCTCTCATGGAAGACCAACCAGAGATAGAAGATGGAGTTTGGTCACCACAGAGAGAAGAGGCAGGACTGCTGAGGAAGGCCATTTCCAAGACCTCAACAATCGGGGCCTGTTTAAGGTGCAAGCTGTACTAAGACAACAGAGAACCCCTTGCCTTCCCCACCGGAGCAGCAAATACCAAGGAACTAGAAACTGGGGGAAGGAAAAGTATGGAGAGAGAAATAAGTCATGGTGGAGATGAACAGGGAAGCTAAAGTAGCAGTATTGCAAAATGCCTCTGAAATCCCAGCCTCCAATCTAAGAAAAAGGTATTCAAGGCCAATGTCACATTGAAGGTGATGGTAGGAACTAGAAAACCCACACTCAGCTTTACTGACTAGATTCCTCAACACCAGCCCCTGCTGTACCCACACATGTGCTAATAGCCTCCAGAAGAGATGTGTCTACTTCCAGACATAAAGTCTCTACTGTTATCCACATAATGTCTGGTATTTAATAAAAATTATATGACATACAAAAAGGCAAGAAAAACAAACCAAAAAAAAAAAATCGCACCACTAAGAGAGAAAATAACCAACAGAACACACTGAGACATGACCCCTATGTTTAAACTATGAAATGGAATTTAAAGTAACTATGATTAATAGGCAAAAGATTCTAGTAACACTACAGACAACATACAAACAGTTGGGAAATTTCAGCAAAGAGATGGTGTTATGGACCGAATTGTGTTCTCCCCAAATCCATACATTCAATCCCTAATTCACAGTGTGCATGCATTTGGGGATAAGGCTTTTAGGGAGGTAATCAAAATTAAATGAGGTCATACAGGTGATGCCCTAGTCCCATAGGGCTAGTGTCCTTGTAAGAAGATAAGAAGGCACCACAGCTTACTGTGTCTGTGCATACACAGAATAAAGTCTACCATAAACTGAGTGGCTAAAACACACAAAAAATACTGTCTTATAGTTCTGGAGGCTAGAATTTCAAGATCAAGGTGCTACCAGGTTTGGTCATGCCTCTTCTCCTGGCTTGTAGATGGCCACTTCATTGCTCTATCCTTACATGGCCTCTATTCTGTGTATGCACAGACACAGTAAGCCGTGGTGTCTCCTTAAGAAGAGGAAGTCTAAGGATATCAGTATCCATCTAAAAAAAGGGCAACTACGTGATGCAAAAATGACATTCCACAAGCCACAAGGCGAAATTAATTTTATAAAAAATACATATGCTTTGTTTATGAGGTATACAGAATGGGCACAGCCAGTGCTATGTTGGGTTTAAGGCCGATAGTCATTTTATTTCTTTCTTGCTGAATTTCTGATGTGTTTTTGTTCATTTACTTTCCCCATTTGCAAATATCATTACCAATAACATGTTAGGAAATAGAGCCTACTGTTTTGCAGTAACGCTGATAATGCCTTTTAAAGCATCCAGGATAAGAACACCACATGAGAGCTACATGGCTGTCATTACTGTCACCTTGATCTAGGAAATCAGGGATTTATTTAGTGTAAGTAGGAAAGCATAAGAAAGAAAATATTTTCCAGCAGCCCACTAATGCAATTCAATTAAATAAACATTCAACTTATCTCCGTGTGCTAGCCACAAAAGACATGGGCAGTCCACTTAATAGAAAGAAGGATGAGCTCACTTACTAATTTGATCCGATGGCCAGGAGTGGTACTGATTTCCCACGTGCATTCCTTCCTGCTTGGGTACTTGTCTGGCCAGTTTGGACTGGTGATGAAGCCACTTGGACTGTGGATCTTCTGTTCGCACTCAGCTGTGCCAACAACGATAATATAAGTCAGTCTGGAAATCTAGCCCAGGGTTGGTTTAGCAAGAAAGTAGCCCATTTACCCACTATCCCGCTGAAAGATTTTCCTCAGTACTGACTAATCACCATGCCAATCTCTGTTATCACAGGCATCTGCCTTGGCAAACATGTTGCTGAGCATAATCAGGCAATGTTTGTTTTCTTGCTCACATGAAATTGTTTACAATGAATCAGATAGATGCTTACAAAAATGAACTATTTTAAATTGCTAGATCTGAAAGCTCAGATTTTAACAGAGCAACATATACTGACATCAAAGCTATCAACGCTTGGCATGTACAAAATATTTGAGTGCAATGCCACAAACGGGATTCAGTGGACTACACCATCTTCAATTCATTTTTTTCCCATTGGCAGAAACATCATTTACAGCTAATTGACATCATTAAGCCATTTTATGGATCATGTATTTACATTTTCCCTCACCCTTAGTTAAAGTAAACACTTGATATCTGAATCATAGTTTTAGCTGCTACACTAAATGAACCCTAATGTCATCAAAGTAAAATGAAGCGTTAAGGGGAAAAATAAGTAAACAGCTGCTAGTCATGGAAATAACTTTTAAACTAATTTCAAAGACTATTCCATTCATTTAATATGAAATTTCTTTTATGTTTTTCACAATAAAATAACCTTACCTTAAAAGAGACTACTCCACATTGTTTATATCAAACTTCAAAAACGTTTAATATCGAAAAAAAAATATTTAATATCCTCAGGCTGTGTCCATTCTCGGTAATTTATGAAGTAGCACCCTACCCATTCTAACTTAGACTGGGAGTTTTTTTGTTGTGTGTTAAGTTTCCTATGAAATCCTTTCTTGAAAATATTTAAAAATATTTAATTTTTAAAAATATTTAAAAATAAGCAGAGAAATAAGGTATCTAAATTATATTTGCTACTTGTGAGCCACAGGGTATATTCATACTTTGCAAAAGCTGCCTCTCTCTTTTTTTGTTTTTCTGAATTATCTTCCAATGCTGCAAAATAACTGGACTATTCCCCAGCCTGTTTATTCAACAAAAAACTTTACTCAGTTACAAATATCAGTCTTCATGGGTTTATCTTCTCATATAGAAAGTGAAAAAAGGAAAAAAAGAAATTCTTGTTTGCATATGATTCTGGGTAATATCATTAGCTCAATGAAAAAGCAGAAAAAAAACCCTGACATGTGACAATATTTGAAAGAAACTGAATGGAACAAGGGTCAGTTCAGGATATCCTGTACAATTCCAATGTTAATACAAAGAGCTGCTATCTAACTGTGATTCTAGCCAGAGACATACCAATCTGTATGTGCTAATAACTAAAGTTATAAAATCTGCCATGGTAATTCTTTCAAAATGGGCACAAATCCAATTTAAGTAGAAAATTCAGGAGCAGGGGCGCCTGGGTGGCTCAGTCGGTTGAGCGTCCGACT